TTTAGTAAAAACATCCTTTGAGAATAGTGCTTGGCAGCAACACTGTGTGGGAAGCTCTAGTTATCAAATTGCTAGAAGTTGTTTTTAATTTTAATTGCTATTGTGGAAGTAGAATCATTCCAGGTTAGTGAGATGGCTCAGAGGGTAAAGGTATTTGTCACCAACCCTGACAATCCGACTTTGATCCCTGGGACCCTCATGGTAAAAGGAGAGAACCAACTGCTGTAGCTTGTCCTCTGACCTCCACATTCTCCATAGCATGCATGTACCTATGTATGTACACACACACACACACACACACACACACACACACACACACACACACACACTCTCTCAATAAAAATAAATAAGTAAATAAATAAAGTAAAATACCAAACACTTGCTTATAGGCTAGAGAGCAAATGTGAGGGATTAGTGCATTTTGTTTGATTGTAGACTTTGTTAATAACTGTGGCCCCTACGACTGCCCATTCTCTAGTGCTGGAATGATTTGAACCCACCATGGAAATAAAGGGACCAGTTGTTACCACTGGAGTGCTGCAGAAGACTGTTCTGTTCTCTGAAAAAGACATTCATTATACTGCGATGCAATGTGAATATGTCTTTTTTGTGACTGAGTGGTCTCTTTCTTTCTGCTCCAACCACCAGCTAGAATGTGCTAGGTTAAACCAAATCCTCCCACTCAGAAGAGGTTCTTGCTTTCACTTAAGAGGTAAAGGCAGGGAGGAAGGGAGGCCTGGGGGCACAGCAAGGGTGACATTGATGGGATTGATTCCTTGTACTTGTAACTACTGTCACTCAGTGACTGAACTCTCTGGATGAAACTATCTGGACAGCAAAAAGGCTGGAATATTTCTTTCCCTTGTAGAACAATCTAGATTATGAATTCTTGAATGTTCACCCTCTGAAGTTTTCTGACAGCTTGCTTCCCTCAAGGGGGAAAGCAAAATCAGATTCAGTCCTTGTTTTCTTTTTGCAAATAAATTCCTTCTTGATGAACAGAGTCCCTGGGCCACAGGCTGATGTGTAAAGTGAAGGACTTGGCAAACAGGGACTCTTCCTCTGTGTTTCTAGCTGCCTATCCTGTGTGTGTGTGTGTGTGTGTGTGTGTGTGTGTGTGTGTGTGTGTGTGTGTGTGTGTTGTCTCTGTCTCTCGTTTGTTTACACGCTTACTCATTTACCATGAACATTTTTTCTAAGTACTTACTGTATACCAGTCACTAGTTTGTACCTTGGATGTATTTTCTGAGTACTTGCTATGAACCAGTTACTAGACTGGATTATGGTGATGTAATAGTAAAACAGAAGACTAGGTCTCCACTCTTGAGGAAGAAACCTCCTAGACTTCTTTGAGGTTTGACATAATTTTGGAAAAGTTAGGTCAGGTCTACAATTCAGAGTAACCCTCCTCCACTGTTGGAAGGGTGCCTCTGAAAGTCCTTGGGATCACCTCTGCTCACTTACTGTCTTCAGTTTTCTTTGTGGGTGACAACCATTTTGATTGTGGTGAGATGGGATGGCAGAGTCACCCATTTCCCTGCTTCAAGATTCCATGATAATGTCGAGCAACATAAATAGTTTGGAATGGTTTTTCAGATACACATGCTTCACTTTGGTACGTTTTCTTCTGTCTCACGTGCCTGACCATGACTTCCCTTGTTTATGACAAGAACCACAATGAAAGTTAGCTTTGGTGAACTTGTGCCTCTTCAGTACTGATTTGCAGAAACTACCAAACTTTTCAGAAACTTGGGAAGTCTTGTATGCATTTATAATCATTACTCAAGATTTGACTCTCCAAGGGAGACATGATTTCTGTGATGTATATACCTACTAAATTAATCACTTTATCCTTAATATAAAAAAAGTTTTAAAAATGTCTTTCTTAGCATATAAGAAAACTGTATACTACTTTTTTTTAAACATTAGTCTGCTGTTTAATAAACCTCTAGGTATGCTTGCACCACATCAGTTTCTGTTCTTACTGCAATCATTGCTGAAATTCTTCACTTAGGTAGTGAACGGACACCGTCCGACAGTGCAGTGCCTGCTTTGTCTTCCTTCGGCAATTTCTGTTTCTGAGTTAGGATATCTTACACGTCCACCCAGCCCCGGGCTGACGACTTCATCTGTAAGAATCCCAGTGTGAACTTTGCAGAGGGGCTTTTAGAGTTTCTTCTGGTTACAAATGTTTTCTGTTTACTCATAAGCCCATTGCCTTACACCACCAACCTTTATTTTTGTTATTTCTTTAAAAATAAAATTAGTTAGCAGGAAAAGTATAACTTTCCTCCTGAAATCAAACAGAAGTTTTGTTGGTTCTTTTATCCTCTTCTCTCCCTTCTCCCTGACCACCTTCTACCCCTTCCTTCCCCATTTCCCTGACCACCTTCTACCCCTCCCCTCCCCATCTCCCTGACCCCCCTTCTACCCCTCCCCTCCCCATCTCCCTGACCACCTTCTACCCCTCCCCTCCCCATCTCCCTGACCACCTTCTACCCCTTCCCTCCCCATTTCCCTGACCACCTTCTACCCCTCCCCTCCCCATCTCCCTGACCACCTTCTACCCCTTCCCTCCCCATTTCCCTGACCACCTTCTACCCCTCCCCTCCCCATCTCCCTGACCACCTTCTACCCCTTCCCTCCCCATCTCCCTGACCACCTTCTACCCCTCCCCTCCCCATCTCCCTGACCACCTTCTACCCCTTCCCTCCCCATCTCCCTGACCCCCTTCTACCCCTCCCCTCCCCATTTCCCTGACCCCCTTCTACCCCTTCCCTCCCCATTTCCCTGACCCCCTTCTACCCCTCCCCTCCCCATTTCCCTGACCCCCTTCTACCCCTCCCCTCCCCATTTCCCTGACCACCTTCTACCCCTTCCCTCCCCATTTCCCTGACCACCTTCTACCCCTTCCCTCCCCATTTCCCTGACCCCCTTCTACCCCTTCCCTCCCCATTTCCCTGACCACCTTCTACCCCTTCCCTCCCCATTTCCCTGACCCCCTTCTACCCCTTCCCTCCCCATTTCCCTGACCACCTTCTACCCCTTCCCTCCCCATTTCCCTGACCACCTTCTACCCCTTCCCTCCCCATTTCCCTGACCACCTTCTACCCCTTCCCTCCCCATTTCCCTGACCACCTTCTACCCCCTTCCCTCCCCATTTCCCTGACCACCTTCTACCCCTTCCCTCCCCGACTCCTCTTGATTTCATGTCACTTACGTCTTAGTGTCCTTCTCCACTTCCTTAAACCTCTTTACTCTCCTGTCTCCTTCCTAGTTTCACAGACCCCACAACTTACATACACATATAGACATTCTGAGCTAGGGACACATAGGACAGGCAATATTCCATTGTTGTCATTCAAAATCTGTTTTCTTCCTTCCCGGCTCTATTCATTATTTTTTTCTCATAAATATCATGGTTCCATTTTTCTTTATAGCTAAATGAAATTCTGTTGCATGCGTACACCACATTTTACAATCCATTCATCTGTTGATGGATAGCCAGGCTGGTCCGTTTCCTTGCTATTGTGAATAGAGCTATCATGAGTGTGGATGTGCAGGTTCGTCTGTAGTAGGAGATGGAGACTTTTGGGTATGTGCTCAGGAGTGGTACAGTGGGGGCATATGGTAATTCTATATTTCATTTTTTGAGATCCCTATGTGTTGATTTCCAGAATGGCTATATGATGTTACACTCTCACCAGGAGTGAATAAGATTCCCTCTTTTCCCACACCTTTGTCAGCATTTATATCATCTTTCTTTTTTTTTTTTTTTTTTTTGGTGGCATCCATTCTAACTGTGGTGAGATGGGATCCTTGCATTTCTGTGTTTATCAGTGTTTCCCAACAGAAGGCTGCAGCCCCTCTGCTGGAAAGGACCAGGCACATGACTATGCAAGGGGTTCAGTTCCCCGAACTCCTGTCTTCTTCATTCATAAAGTCAGGGGCCACACCTCATGATTACTAAACCTACTGGGCCTATTAGAATTGATTTTATGGGAGGTATAATACCTGAAATTTGATAATAAAAATACCAAGGCTTACTTCATAAGCAAGGCAGAAATCAGTTTCATTATTGTTTTCACTAATTAAAAAGACCTGGACAGTGAAATGGACTTGATCATAAAATTCAACCCAGTTTAACATCATTCTCCTTTGATGCTCATAAAACATTTATGACTCCTGGAGAGCTGTAGACCTGCCTAGGTCCCTGGGATGTTTTTGGTTTTATTATTCTACAACTTAGTTCCAATATCAACTTTTTTTTTTTTTGGTCATATGCTTCTATCTTATAGTCTCAAACAGAAAATAAATTAGTGTTATTTAAATCTTCATTTTGTAGAAGCATCGTTAGATTGTATCCAGGAAGTATCATATTCAAATATAAAAGCCATAGAAGGGGCAGTGAGGCGGTCTGGGTAAGGACATTTGCTGCCGAGACTGATGACTTGAGTTCAGTCTCTGAGACCAGAGGCCTGAGGAAACCAACTCGTAAAAGTTATCCTCTGACTGCCACATGTGTGCCGTGGTGTGTGTATATAGTCACATGTACAATAAATAAATACATGTGAAAAAATAAGGCCAAGGGAACACTAATCTGTAGATTTGAATGTATTATATTGGCAATCAGGCTGAGTGTGGTGGCCTGTGTTTATAATTCTAACATTTGAGAGATAAAAGCAGGAGGATCATGTGTTCAAAGCTGTACTCAGCTACATACTGAGTTTGAGGTCACTCTGGGCTACATGAAACTCTGCTTTAGAAAACAAACATGAAATAAGTAAATAGACAGACAAAAAGCATGGATTGAAGGAGAGACTGAAGAAGGAGGTCTTTATGGTAAGGATATAGTTCCTCATAATGGGATTATGACATTAATAATTCATTTCATTGTAAACATTGCCCAATATCTTTTCTCTAGTTGAAGAGGTTTTCTTATTTCTCCACCACCATCTCTGTATGAGACAAGCATTAAGAAGGCTTTGCCAGGTGCTTACCTTGAAGAAGGTCATTGTTGAACCATCTCTGACTGCTCCATATTCTATCTTGGTTTGTTTGGCCAGATCATCTGCGGAATCGATGGGAGATTCCATCCTCTCTACTGTCAAGAAGGCAGCCAGGTTGGCAGTGTAGGATGAAATGATGATTAGGGTGAAAAACCACCATATTCCTCCAACTATTCTGGTCGATAGAGCTTTGGGCATCAGCTCTGATCCTGTGACAGCATCATCAGAGTTAGGGTGTTATATCAAGTCAACAAGCAAAAGGAGACTCATCCTGGTCATTATTCTAAGGGGGAGGAACTCTTCAAAGACTATCTTATGTGACGATGAAATGAATGTGTTTTCCAGAATTGGTAAAAAATCCAAGTTATCCTTTCTTTAAGTCTTACTTATTACTTATTATTATTAATTATTACTTCTGCTTACAATACAAGTAGTCAGAGTTGATGGTCTTACGATGCTTTTAGCCCTGAGATAGACTAAAATGTATTTAGTTGCTTAAAAGTAAAGAGCTAATTCTAAGGTTTTTGACCTTATTACTGCCTAATGCATTATTTAGAGGAAAATAAGAAATTTTAGGTTTTTCTATAATGATGAAAAGCTCTAAGATGGTAACTTATTTTTATTTAAGGTTAAAACATGTGAGGAACTTTCAAAAGGTTACAGATGCAGTTATAACATGCAACTTAACCAAAAAAGATTGGTAATTTTCAGATAATGTGAAATGAAGCTCAGACACACTTTTTTTTTTATGGGTGGGTACCATTTTGTTTCATATTACTCTTAAGGAAACATACAATATATTTTTTCTATAATTTACAGTCTTGTTTGGCTGAAACAGGACATGTTCTGTTCTTCAAAGTGTACATTTTTGCCCTTAAATAAAGAATTTGTAAAAAATTGGCTGTTTTCCCAGGTGGAGAGATGTTGTGCCTGGTAGGAATACTCATTTTAGCTACCATTCAGGTCACTTGTTGCCTTTCGAAGGTAACATGGAGATACTTAATATGTGTTTACTAAGAAAATCCTCCTCTCTCTATTGGTTCTATTGGTCAAACATCCTGAGAGGAGTCCAGCTCAACTTGGAGCTGTAGGCATCTACATCCCAAGTAGTCAAGTTGGAAGGGACCAGAAGTACGATTGAGTTCACTTCAGTTGAACTGATTCATGAATGCATTTCAGTTAGTCCATTTGCCAGAAACCTATTCCTGGTGATATGCTTAGAATTACTTCTATGAACCTGAAATCATGCCAGAATTTATGTGTTCAGTTAAAACAGGCAGGGGCCAGCTCTCATTGAAAATCCCAGAGACTCAAAATGTTTGAGTACAGTGGGTTGGAAGTAGGGTTTGGAAAATTCTTTCTCTACACTAACTCGGTATCTTGATATCGTGTAGGTATTAATGGTGTGAGATGGAAATAAAAATTGGAGTTTACTAGTCTACAAATGGATGAGTTTATACTCAGGTTTAATCTACAAGCAGACACACGGCATTGCTCATGAAATCGAAACCAGCTCAAAGCTGGGATGAGGAGGTGCAGGCTGGCAGAGTATCCGGGCTTTGAATACACAAATATTACTTTAATGCTCTTAGTGTGTCTGTGGTGCTTGGATCCCTCTGATGAGATAAATGGTTTGACTGTAGTTTTCATTCTCTTCTTTTGTTTGTTTGAATTTCGGTGTGTAACGTTACACAAATTTGTAACCATTTCCATTAAATTGCCTCCAAGGATTTAGCAGAATAATCTGTTGCTGTTGTTTTTTCATCTTGTGGTTTAAAAGGATTTGTATGCCTATGGGTTTGTATGCTTAAAGCCCAAGATTGCCTTGTATCTTTGTACTTAATTGATTTAGCAGCCTTGTGGCAATGCGATATTATTTTAGATCTTTAGTTAGATGCCATTAAAATACCATTTATCTTAAAAAATAGCCACAGGAGAAAAATATCACATTAAAGATACAGTTTTTCTTGGCTCATAGGTGCAAATTTTCCGCTATCAGTTTATCCTTATGTTATTTTGTAGTATTTATGAAAAGATGGCTTGCAACTTATCTGTATCTATGCATCATTGTGTTTTGCATGGAAGTAGAAAGTCATCTATAGATGAATAATGATTTGACATGCAAATATAAATTTTTGTTTTTTAACTTTAAAATGAATATTTTTAATTTTAGAAGAAATTCTCAGGAATTTAGGGCAAAATGTAGCAATCTAATGGAGTTGCATTTTAAATTTTCATTAGATATATTCATGAAATTTCTCAATGTTCCTTTGCATTGTTTTAAAAAATTCATATCATTTTGTGAATTTCTTAATTCTTAATGTTAGCTGATGTATTTCAAAATGGCCTCCCTCAAGAAGAGATGATTTGTGCATGTTCAGTACCCTAAAGGATGAAGCCATGAGAACAGTAATAGTATAGAGTAAAACACCACTGGAAAATACTCAGGATGAGACAATACTTGCTGAAGTCTCTTTAGTGCCTTTTATGGCAGACATGACAGCCAATCCTGATCCAGACTTTGCTCAGGCTCTGTAGAAAAGAGAAAGTCTGATCATCACATTAAAAAAGAAACGAAACAAAGTGGTTTCCAATTTAATACAATGACAGGCTTCTGAACACAGGGAAGAGTATGATGATGAGTAGCTACCTGGTCCAACGCTGTGTATCAAGGGCAGATGTACGAACAGTCACTAACACTACACTTGGAAATGCTCATTGGCTCTGAGGAATGTTTGTCAACTTCTTGAAGACAAGCAGAGTCTGGCTGGGGCTGACTGTCATGTATCCAAGGTAGTGGTAACTAACAGACACTGCATCCCACAGTTTGCTGTGGATGCTGGTAAACTCCAAATGGGGAAAATATGTGAGCGAGGTTTTAAAAATGGATACATGTACATGACAATAGGCATATACCTGCAAAGGTCTGCAGAGTGGCCTGTGAGTCCTGTGTGTATTTGTTTTTTGTTCTATTCCTGGAAAAGGCAAGTTGTAGGGATGGGAGGAGGCCTCCTTCATTCTCAGAATAATTGCTCACATGATAATTACCCTAAATAATTAAATGCACTGGTTAAGCAAGACACAACTTCTAATGGGGGTGTCTTGCAGGATTGATGCTCTAAATTCATACCAGTGATTTCTACTAAATCTGGTTGTGTCTACATCCATTTAACAGTCCCCACATAAACTATGCATGACTACAAAAATAGAAGTGTCCATTTCTTAAATTATATGGTATTTTCATATCAATGACCAACATGCACATTTATATTCTCTGTTTTTCCCTCTCTCCTCTGTCTCTCTGTCTCTCTCTCTGTCTCTCTGTCTCTCTCTCTGTCTCTGTTGGATTCACAGAATGTAAACATTTCAAATGATATGATAACAACCTCCTAATGAAAAACCTCAAGTTGACTTTCAAATCACACACATGTTTAATGTATATCCCAGTTGGGTTTTCTTTCACCAATTTATTTTGTAGCTTATTGTTAAGTGGAAAGAGAGTCCAAATACAACAGCATCTGTGACTTATGATTTTCTTAAATTAATGCATTTAATCTTGGAAATATTTGATAGACCATACGTCTGAAATCAAACTGAAGAAAATCCACAAACTAGTTGGATTGCTTCCAAAGGTTAAAACAACTTCTCCTTCTTGCATAACAAAAACCAAAAACCTCCGAAATCATAGAGAAAGATAAAATATATTACATTTCTTCGGTTTCAGTTTTATTTCTCCAACCTCTACAGTTTACTGTTGCTATGGTTACCAGTTGAAGGAGATTGTAAAAAGTTATTGGATGGCTACGGTGAATCTCTGTAGAGTTTCTCAGAGTGGTAATTAAGTGGAAGTTCTAGGTCCTGTTAGCAATTGGAAGAATCCAAGTGAATTCAAACTTCTAAGGGTTTAAACTCCATTCCATTTATACTTTGGCTTGTGAATTTATGGTCAAGAAGGAAAAGATGGGCAAGTCTATCTGTGGAAATGCATTTACTTAAAAAAAGAAGCCTAAGGTTTTGTGATGGATAACCATCACTGTTAACTTGACAAGGTTTAGAGTCACTTAGGAGATACATCTCTTGACATGTCTATGAAGATGTTTCCAGAGAGGTTTGGCTGAGGTGGGAAGACCATGAATGTAAGAAGCACCTTGCTAGGCTGGGGATGTCAACTTAATAAAAAGGAAAAATTAATACAGATGGGCAAAATGAGCAGGGCACAGCAGTCATTGTTCTTTGTTTCCAGACGGCAGAAACAATGTGACAGTTGCCCCAAGCTCCCGCTGCCATGCTTCCCACACCGGATGGAATATACCCTTAATTATAAGTCAATACAAACCCTTTATCCCTTATATTGCTTCTAGTCAGTTATTTGATTACACCAATGAGGAAATAACTAACACAGGTTCCTTATTCTTCACTACTTGCAGGGAAATGTATGTCCCCTTTTTGAAAGAGGTGCTCTTTTCAGATACACAGAAAGGAAGTTCCACTTAGACCCTATTGCAATCTTTGTCTATTGCTGTTGTTTTATATCTCTGAGTGTTTCATCCTACCATCTAGTTTCATGGTGGAGTTTACCAGCTTGAAAGCTTGTCAGCAGACTGTGGGATGCAAGTGACAACATGGGCAACCGGTGTACCTTGCTGCATGAGAGCTCCAACTCCAAACCAGAAACTATTTAGCAAAGTGAAATTGTTTTCCACCACATCGGAGTCGGGGTTGCATGGGTGGGGGTTATACCACTCGTAGGGTGTAAACCTGCGGTAATCAACAGAAACAGTTTGTAAATATCAGGTAGACACACGGAGCAGAGTAAAGCCTGCTGAGCGACGTAGAAAACCCAGCAGCTGAGCAGAAGCCACAGGAGTGAAGACCGTGGGCAGACATCTCCAGCTCTATTGAAATACATGTGAAAGTCTCTGGGCAAATGCTCACCAGCTTCCTGCTCCAGAGTCAGACCCGCTGGTGACTAGAATTGCATTCCTCAGACCTGTCTCTTGAATTCTGAGTTTTCGTTCATTTCCATTTTACTGAGCAACTGGATAACTATAAAGAAAAGCTCCCACATCCCAAGTTTTGACTCTAGCAAGGAGCAACAAGAGTGGCATGGAATAGAAAATGATTACACAGTTGAGCTGTTACGTGGCTAGATGCTGTGAGGGCCATGTGCCCTCCAGGGACATTTATGGTTCCATGGACTTACACTATACAGAGTCTAACATTTCACAAATGATGCAGAATGAAGAAAAAAAAACATGAACAGAAAAGAAAAGGGCTGGATTTGGGAGTATATCACTTATTTCAAAGATACTATATAGAAATACAAACCTCAATTCTTCAATGAAAAGACAAAGTTTAAATTTGAAAGGATCATAGCCCAGGTATATACAGTTAGTATATTAACATTAACTTCAAGGCTCAGAGTGGAGAATTAGAAGCTCATGTTTTCCTCTTGATTTATTTTTAATTGAATTCTTTTCTGAATTATGCCCCACAGTCATGGAATCACCAACTCTGGTTAGGTGTGAAGTGTTTTCTGTGGCACTATTATCACTCTGCCTGCAAGAGACCATGGCTCCTAAGTTCCTGGAAATGCAATGAATCACCCAAGAAATCTACACAAAGGATTTGACTTGACTCCTTCGGCTTCAGTTTGCCTCTTTATAAAATGGGGAAATCCAGATGTCTAGGAGCAACATTTAAAATAATGATCTGGGGAACTGATGACGATTTTAGTCTCTGAGAATCTTTCTGACCTATGTAATCCAGAGGAGGGGCTTGCTCTAGGGGTCTTTTAGGGAACCCTAGCAAGGTGTGCTTTCTTTTCTTTTCTTTTTTTTAAAGACATTGCCAGATATTCTGCAAAGTAATCTGTAATAATTTAAAATGCAATAATTCATAGCGCTGGAAGCTTTGCCATTTGCCGCTGGGTCCTTTTAAGGCAAAAAGGATTGTTAGAGTAATGTTAAAATACCGTAGCGCCAATGAGAACACAAGGATGCTCTCCAAGCCATAAGGCTTCAGCAGCAAACAATAGCAGGTCCCAGCTGCATCAGGGAGAACTGGGCTGAAGGTGAATATATTATCTACAGTGAAAAGCAGGACATGCTGTGAATCCTGAACAAAGAACTGGGAAGATAGGTTCTCTTAATGAAAAGTGTTCTCTAAAGCCCTGGACATCTTCTGTAAAGTGTGCTGTGTCTTCTCACGGAGTCTTAGGGGTGTTAGGATAGCAGCCTGGTCATTTATTGCACCACAATATCATCCAGCTCTTTCCTGTGGCTTCTCCCAAGCTGCAGGGTACATCATGCACGTTCCTGTAAGCTTATGAACATAGCTTTAATTGACAGTGCATGCCAATACATTTTAATTACTGTTGCAACAGTATAATTAAGTTTTGAATTTATACACTCGTATAACCATAGTAGTTTGCTGAGCTGAAAGAACGAATACCGATATTAATGAACCTAATAATTGAAACAGCATGCAGACTAAAGATGCTGTTACTTAAACAATATCATTGTCCCTTGTACAATAATTTAAAAATATTAATTGCAATAAATTAGGAAGATTATGCGTTCAAGCATATAGGCTTTTCAAATAGACCATAAAACCTGGCAACCACCCCTTCCCCCCACCACCAATATTCTGTTGTTTACCCACTAAATATACTCTGATCTGTGAGCATGTGTCCTTGGAATGCTGCTTTTTAACTTTTTCCCTGTGTAAATAAATAAATAAATGTTAGAATACTTTAACACTTGTGAGCAGTTAACTGGACTTTCTGTGGAGCAGAGGGCAACTATCTAAACATCAGCACACTCCTCAGCTCTTCAGGAAGTTGCGAGTTCTTTGTCTCCAGGATTCTGAGTGACTTGGGAAGCACGTGAACTGGGGAGGCTGTGCTGTAAGACACTGGCGTTTTGCAGTGTAGAAAGACACACTGGTTGTATAGGTGTAGAATCCTAAAGCCACTGGACAGCATGTCAGCACCGGGAAGTATACAGGGAAGTCCAATCCATAGTCGGAAAGAATGGCCATCTGAAAACACTGTCCCATACTCAATGAACACTCAGTAAGTTGGCACTGAAAGTCAGTAACATGACACATGGACAAGTGTGTTTAGAATCTATGTTGCAACTTGCATATATAATAGTGTTTCATGGGCATGGGGGTGTTGCCTATAATTCCAGCATTTGGGAGACTGAGACAAGAGGATTGCTTCCGATGTGAGACCAGTCTGTCTCCATAGGAAGTTCAAGAACAGCCTGGGTTGCAAAGAAAGAGCTTCCTTGTTTCAAAACAAAACAAATATAACAAAACGCAGCATAGTGAATCTAGTGGATTTATACATGGGAATGTTTACTTTGGGTTAAGGTTTAGATGCATGAAGTTTACACTAAGTGAAAAGTTGTGAAGTCATCCTTGATGTGAAGTTTCCTAATTGAGGGGACTTTCTATTTCTTGTTGTCGATAGACATTGGTCGCTTTGAAGATAAAAGGATCCATGTGTTTCAACGAAGAAAGGTCTGTTTGAACTTGTTATACAACCACGGAGTTTGTACTGTAACTTTAGAATCTGCTTTCAAGGGAACATTCTTCTTCCTATTTTTACTTTTTGCTAAATGCCAACTTTAAGAGTTCCATTTTAGTAAGACAACTGTAAGTCCATGTTTAGAAGTTTGGCTCATTTCAGTCCTACGTTCATCATGAACCTAATTCTTTGCGGTTAAATATTTTTAGAAAGTCAACCACCAAACCAAAACACTAACATACAAGTTTGTTAGCAGCCATGCCTAACTGGCATTTTATTAGGTTTTCTTTAGCTTCTTCCATTAATGCTTTTTAACTTTATAAATTCAGTTCAGTCCAATGAATGATTTTAGGGATCTATTTAGTGAGGGTGTTAGCTTAAATGCCAGATTTGACTTTATTTTTTCACTTTAAAAAAACATGAAAGGATATATTTCACAATATAAATTCTAAAGATTCTCTAGAGCAAAGGGTTATTATTAGATTAACTGGTTTCCAGTTCTATGTTACTGAATTCAGTTGGGATGCAGTATAAAGGAGTCCCCTCAGCCTGTGTGCTTCTCAGGGCTTCTGGGTTATGCTGACACACTGTTTTCTTGTCAGCTTTGGCCAACTTCGCTATAGTAAGTCATGTGCTTTTCCATTAACATTACCTTGATTGCTCTATTTACTGAGCATTAATGTTTGAAGAAACCATAGATGCAAGATATGAAAACTCACATTTTTATTGTCCTCTGTCCCTTTTATTGCTTAATTAGGTGTAGATCCAAGTAGAGAAATGTAAAATGTAACAATCTAGTACAATGTGGTATGTTCCTTGTAAGAGGGTACTTCATTACTAGACGGCTATCCCAGGGCAATATTCACTTCCCCTAGTTACTGTGACAAATCTCCAAAGGTCAATAGCTGATTAAAAATTATTTTCAAGTAATATTTTCTTTAAATTTTCTTGAGCATAGTGTCTTGACCTTGATATGACTGACATTTTGAAATTGATAATCCGTGTGTGTGTGTGTGTGTGTGTGTGTGTGTGTGTGTGTGTGTGTGTGTATGGAAAGAGAATTTTGACTACTATTTCAAAAAACAAAATTTGATATTTGGCAATGGCACGTTTTACACGTTTCTAGGAGTGTTGAGAACTCCTAGACTTCAGCCCCCCATATCCATAGAGAGGTCACTTGTTTGGTTTGACTCTGTCTGTCTCATGGATCTTCTGTACATTTCCTGCTTGGGTTATTTTCCCAAGCTTTCTTTGTAATTATGCTGGGGGGAAAGTTACCAGGCATTAATCAAAACTGGACAGTGAACAATGACAAGGAGCTACTATGAAGATATATTTCTCTTATAAATTCCTGGAGAGAAGACAAAAATTGATTAGGGAAAATTTTTTTTACCAATTTTTGTTGAAAGGTGAAAAAGATTGAAAACAAGGACATGACATTAAAAGGTAATTTTTAAAACAGTTTATCTATGACTATCAAATGTTTAAAAAGAACAGATAAATAAAATAGCGGTTTCCAATTCAGTATCAAAGGCATTTTGATATATGGTCTACTGAGAAGGATAAAAAACTTCGGAAGAATTGTGTAAAGTGTAATGGTTAGATATAGAGGCAGAATTTAATCTTGAAAGATAAAACTTAAATTGAAAACTTGCCAAGTATAATAAAATTTTTATAATGGCTTGAGGATGTAGCTAAGTGGTATAGGGCTTGCTAAGCATGCATAAGGCTCTATAGTTCATCCCCAGTACAGAATCAATCAATCAATAATCAGTCAATCAATCAATCCTCCATGATCTCATGTCTTTTCAGTGTTACTTCTATGATTTTCTTATTAACCTTCCAACGATTTTAAAGAGCAATCTCACAAATTTTCAAAGTGTTTTTCTTGATCCTTACAGGTTTCAGCATCTTTCAATGTTTCAATCTTTCTGTGTTTTTTATTTGCTATGGTGATTCCTAGCTAACTGGTTTTTCTGTTTGGCTTATTCAATTATTCAAGGAACCAAATATCTTAAAATCATTTTATTATTATTTTAGTAATATTTCAGCTATCCCAGATGATCCATTGCATTTTTGCTCTGTATTCCTCAGAAAATGGGATAAATAGTCATTTTATATGAATTGAAATACAGAAAGAGTCAAATTAATATTAAGGACTTTCTTGTTTCTTTAAAAATGTATCCTTATGGATAATTAGCTTTCAATGCACACAATAGTTTTTCATGGAAACCTTGAGAAAATGCAGCAAAGAACAAAAATAAAATTGCACTTTAAACCATGAACTTCTGAAGTCTGTGACTGACAGATCATTGTCATGAATTCAGTATTCTCAAGCTTACCTTGCGATCACGAAGAGCACACAACTGACTCCCAAACAGGCCAGCAGCACATACATCCAAATGTCTGGAGACAGGGGGTTGAGGAAAGAGAAAACACCCGGGTTGGTTCCATTGGGCTTCCGGTAAAGGATGCTAATGCCCAGGGTCATGAAGGGCTTGGAGAAGTCTATGACCTTCTCCCTGACATAGGTGATGGTGAGAGGGGCCACTGCGAGGTCAGCTCTCTGTAAAAACAAGTTCAAAACTGTCAGCTGTGTTGCCTCTCTTCTCTGCAAATGACTCGACTTTCCCTGAGTATTCCTACTTCCTAATCTCAACTACAAATGCTTTTCATATAAGGAGCGGACTTTGGTTCCATTACAGTGTTTATTATCAATGACAAAACAGAAAGTATGGAGGGGTGGATATCGGGGTAAGGTGCACACACACACACCCAGAGAGTGGTAGAGGGGTGTGTGTGTGTGTGTGTGTGTGTGTGTGTGTGTGTGTGTGTGTGTGTGTGTGTGTGTGAGAGAGAGAGAGAGAGAGAGAGAGAGAGAGAGAGAGAGAGAGAGAGAGAGATTATCATACTTAAACTAAAATTGCAGGATGATGTCTTTATCAAGGACATGTTAGAAAAGGAAGAAATGAACAACTTGATCATAATATAAATTGACAAGATGAGATTTTTCTGAGTCCTGAGTCCCAAGTCCTAGAATTCTTGATTGAATTGGAAACCTCCCAAGCTTATTCTTTCGCATAAAGGGTGAATGTATACACTTTAATCTTCAACTTTTATTTCCACTCATCCTTCCAAACTGAGGAAACTTTATGTCTTGGTTGTATTATTCTCCTTTTTAAATTTTTGTTTGTATGTGGCTAAAAACATGGAACACCAAAGTCATTCTTCAAGGCTTTGGTAAAAACATTATTATTGTTTTGAATCAATTGCTTTTTTCTCCTCTTCCTCACTTAGGGCATTTTTCAGACAATCAGGAGTGTTTTTGCTTACGTGGTCGATGAGTTCTTTGACCATCCCATTCCACTCTCCTTTGTCATTTTGGGCCCCATATTTGCCATCAGGAACTAGTTTGACATCATAAAGGAAACCCAGGATATTTGACAATTCTTTCAGCAGATCCAGGCAATATCCTTCAAATCTGTCGTTGCCGTATAGGGGCTTATCGGATTTCCTGTACATCACATAGGGCTCTTCCTGAGTGAAACAAACCAGGTATGAAAGCTCCGTTATCATGAAAAGGAAAGTAGTCCATCAGTAGCCTGAAGATATATAACATTTGAAGTTGGCTTTTAAGAGTGGAAAATATTAAAGTCAGTTGCTTGCATTCCTATTTCTGCTATTCTTGTCTACCACAGTTATAGAAGCCTTCATATGTATTTTTCATTTCTTTCCTACCTCCTTAGATAGGAGCCTTTTCTTGCATTGCTGTATTTTGTGTGTGTGTGTGTGTGTGTGTGTGTGTGTGTGTGTGTGTGTGTGTATGTGTATGTGTATGTAGTGTATGGTGTGACAGAGACACAGTTATCTTCAAATTTTGAATCTGAGAAGATGGAAAGTCTCAGAGGACACTAGGGTCCCACGTGCCTCCTCCACATGACCACATCCAGGCTTCCTTTTCAGGACTCCACTTTCCTTAGGCTTTTACTTAAGAGTGTCTACTTATAAAGGAAAAATGAAACCCAGCAAATATGATCCTTTCATTTTTCAAACATTGTGTATACCAAATATTCTAATTTTTAATCTTAGCTTCATTCCAAATTCAGTCTTACTTTCTCTATATACTGGTTGGCTGCTGGTGGCCGTGTCAGAAGAGCAGCAGATGGCAATTGAAGTTTGGGGTACCAGCCCACTAGGAGGAAAATCCCTGATGGATGAATCTCAGATAGGCAAGGCCCCAAGACCCCAGACCCCAGAATGTCTTTTGCTTCTGCTGTGCCCTTACATATTTGCTGCTACCATCTTTCTCTGGTATCTGGCATAGTGTGAATGGGTATGGGGAGATCCCCAGTGCCTGTAATGTAGTGTGTATATCATGCAAACTTTCCATTCTACTGGGTGTTTTTACCTGTGGACTATTATGAAAATAATTTCTTCCTACACTGTACTGTCTAATTGATAATAATTAATGTTAGTTTAAATAGAGTTTTAATGATTAAAAAATATAAAGAAGGAAGTGTCACACAACTCGATGCATGAGTTTCTATTGAAGTGTCATATAGAATGTATCTTAGGTTAATGATTAAGAAAAACAATTGAGTCCTGGTAGCCCAGGTAACTTAGAGTGCTTTAGCCTTAATGTTCACAGGTTTTGAAGTGCATCAAAACAGCTGAAACAAAGTTTTGAAAATAACTTAAAGTTAGACTGAGATGTTTTTGTTAAATAGCTTTGAGGTGAAAAACCCAAGAAAATAATCTAAAGTTTTAGAAAGGCACATAGTTGAGTGAGGAGCTCTTTAAGGTCAAGGAACAAGAACAAGGCAGCTTTTTTTTTTTTTTTTTTTGGCTAGGATTGGTTGATGATCAAAGGTGATGATTAATTCCTTGTGTCCATTTTTGCCCTCAGTCTCCTGATTTAAAGAAATTATTAAGGAAAGGTATGTACCCTAAAGATTTAAAGTAGAGCTGACTGATTATTTTTGATATATGAAAGTTTAGATTTGTGATTCCTTACAAGATTACCTTTCAAGACAAGTAATAAAGTGATTGGTCCTTTCTTTGTAACCACAAAACGCAGCCTGCCAGTAAAATAATATCTTGCTTGCTTACACTCTGTTAAACTATAACAAGTTGCTTGGGTATGAATGTATATGGATTCTTGGGATAATTTGTTTTTCACCTGTAATGTGTAAAATGTTTAATCATGTAAGGGATATGGAAAACATGCTGTTTTTTGCTTGTATTCATCCTAATCATTCATGTGAAAAACAGAATGTATCCACTTTGTAATTTTTATATTGCCTGAAAAATTTTGCTGGTGTATATAAGCTGTAAGGGAAAGAATAAAGCTAGAGTTAAAATGAGTTAGAAGGAAACCATCAAGAATGAGAGAGTAAGAAGGAATTAGAAGGAAAAGATCAAAAACAAAGATTGACAAAGATAAATCATCAAGAATGAGAGAATAAGAAAGAATAAAGATAGAATTAGAAGGAAAACTACAAGAATGAGAGAAGGAAATAACAAGGAAAATAAAGAATAGACAATATAAAAGAAGAATAAAGAAAAGGTCTGAAGGAGACCATCAAGAGAGTGTGTGAGTGTCTTTTCCCTTTACCACCTCAGATAGAAAAGTCTTAGTATGCATCGGCTCTGTGGATTCCCTTTCAACCCTGTGCTGCTGGGGGCTGGTCCCCCAGGGAGCAGTAGCTGGCTATTTCCAGGGTTTCTTATTTCATCAGTCCTATAGTCTTATTTGAAATCACCTTGAACCTCAAATATGATAATGCATTTCTTAGATGATTATATGATAAATCCCTTATCTTATGAGTAATGGCCATTTTCCTACCATGCATCTGTAAACTTGCTAATTCTCACTTGAGTAAATAAAGGTTTATTTTGTTTTATACAATTATAATAATCACTCTGCTGATGAGATGCCCTGTATGTTTAGGTTTCTCATCAAGTAAATTGACAGTTGGATCATGCAAATGCAATAGAGAATTGTTGCCCATAGGGGAGTTCCAGGACAGCCAATTCTACACACTGAACCTTGTCAAAACAAAATGAAACAAAACAGCCCCCCTCCAAACCTTATTTCCATAAGGTGGTTGCAGCAAAAGTAATGGCCAGAAGAAAGCACAAAACAAAACAAGAAAATAACAGATATACTTTTGATAATCATGTCTCACAAGGCAACTTCAAAGAAAAATAGCTCTAATACCAAGGACTGAATGAAATAAAGCAAAGCACGCCTTTAAATGCAGAGTTCAGAGTGCACTGTGACTACCTAGATCCCTTGGGAAAGGAAAGAGAGAGAAATTGGGGGGCTTGTGTACAGTGGCTAGCTGGCCATAAGACCAGAATGGCGATGGGACACATGTCTTTTGGAAATCAGTTAACACAAGGGTTATTTCCAGAGATAAGAGCCTGTGGAGAGGAGCCATTGGAGCGGGGAGTAAGAATGGAAATGCAGTGTGTTATTCAGGGACCTATTATACCAGGAAACTAGGGAAAAGCAGGGCAGAGAAGGGTGGGTATGTTGCCAGAGTCCAGAGAAGCTGGAACCTGGGTGCAGGGGAATTGACAGAGCAGGAAATATGCTATGGAAAGACACGGGGAAAAATTGATTGACAGCATAGGGAGGTCACAGAAAGCAATCTCTCTGTCGCCCTTTCCCCCAGCCACCCCCACTCCCACCCCCACCCCCGGCCGCTTCCGTGCCACTTCCCAAGTCTGTTGCTAGAGTCTCCTCTTGCTTGAAACCATCCAGCAATTCAGCAGGCAAAGAATAAGAAAGAGCCTCTGGGTGGGGTGGAGAGAGGGAAGAATAGACCTGGGATTCTGGTAAGATGAAAGTCTGTAGAGAGGTTTTGAGAGCTTATATTTCACTCCTTTAAGCATGTACAAATGTATGCTTTTAGTTTCCCAGTCTGAAAAATAGACTCATGCAGACAGAACTGCCAGCCTGAAAAAAGACAGTGGAAGGAGCCTTTCAGGTCTAGTGTGGGAGTGTAGATAAAAGGCCAGGGCTTCACAGCTTACCAGAATAGTGGTTACAATGAGTGTTCGGTTGGCCAGCGAATCCGTGATATTGTTGGACCTGTCTCTGTTGCCGTCTGTCATGTTCAGCCCACTGTTGGAGTTCCAAATCCCAATCTGCACAGAACACAGGGTATCAGAGGCTGCCAGTTGCCCACAACAGCACTTATGTTAAAACAGTGGTCCCACTACACCAGGAATGGAAACCAAAGCTTACACCCGGGGGCACCAGGGCATCACAGTGGAGGCTACTTGCTACAGGAGAGTGGCACAATAGAAGGATGAAGGTGTAGACAGAATCAGAAAAATTGGGGCTATTTAAGGCAGGTGCAGGAGACATTTTTATTTTATTTTATTTATTATTATTTTTTATTAAGGAATTTTTTTATTCATTTTACATATCAACCACAGATCCCCCTCTCTTCTCTCCTCCAGCCCCTCCAGCCTTCCCCCACAACCCACCCCCCATTCCCTCCTCCAACAAGTTATGGCCTCCCATGGGGAGTGAGCAGAGCCTGATATGTCTAGTAGAGGCAGGTCCAAGCCCCTCCCCCTGCATCAAGGCTGTGCAAAGTGTCCCGTCACGGGTAGTGGGCTCCAAAAGGTCCTCTCATGCACCAGGGACTGGGAAGCCTACAGAGGTAACCAAACCAAACTAGTGGGAACTCATGAACTTTATTTTACTTTCAATTAATTAACCAATTGTTTTGTTATTTGAGACAGAGTTTCTCTTTGAGACAAAGATTTCCCTTTGTAGACCATGCTAGCTTTAAACTCAGAGATCTGCTTGTCTCTGCCTCCCAAGTGTTGGGATTAAAGCTGTGTGTCACCACAATGGCTTGGAATTTTTGCTTTTAATTATTAAGCTCATTACTGGTTTTTTAAATTAAAACAATTAGTATAAATGACTATATCAGATTTTCCCAATGTAGTGCATTTGTTGAGCACCTACTTCCATGTCCAGCACAGCTGTAGGCATTGGACAACGTAGCACATAGTAGCAAACAAACACTCTTGTTACATTCTGCTGACATCAAACATCATGCCACTACACTGTTAATAGCAGTTCCTTGAAAATGGGTGATTACGGGGATGGAAAGGGCAGGGTGGGTGGTGGAGGGATCTGGAATTGGAAAAGGAAAGACAGATGGGAGAAATTACATAGATGAGAGGTTGACAAAATTCGGGACTCATGCTTACTGAGAAGCCAGTGCTGAGAGGGGTCCCTCTTATGCTTCCCAACAGGACCCAGTGCACACCGCCGTCTGAACACCTCATGTCTTTCATCATTACTACTTGCTTATCTCTGTTTTGTGTCCATTTGACCATGAACTCTTCCAGTAGGGAAATTTTATTTTTCATTGACTTTTATTTTTTCTATCAGAGACCCAGTGGTGATTATTGGCTCAATGACCCTTACAAAATGATGTCCTCTTATTTCTCCAGTGGCCTGGTCACTGCTAATGTGTTAGGACCTATAAGATACATGTTGATCATTCCTGATGCCCAAATTCAACATTCTCCAGCATCACCTGACCTTAGGAAATGTGTCAGAGTCAAAAAAGAGGTGCTAAAAAACTAAACCCCCCAAGAAGAGGGGGAGGAAAAGTAGGGGGAGCCAGAGGGGTGAAGGATACCCAGAGAACATGGCCCACAGAATCAACTAAGCAGGGCTTATGGGAGCTCACAGAGACTGAAGCAGAAATTGCTGAGCCTGAATGGGTCTGGGCTAAGTTCTTTGCGTATATGTTATGGTTGTTAGACTGGTGTTCTTGTGGGATCCCTAACAGTGGGAGTGGGGGCCTCTCTGACTCTTTGACTACTCTTGGGACCCTTTTCCTCTTACCGGATTGTTTTGGTCCAGCATTGGTGTGAGGGTTTGTGCTTAGTCTGATTGTAACTTGTGCCATATTCTGTTGATGTCCCTGGGAGGCCTGCTTTTTTTTTTCTGTGGGGCCAGGGGCAGGGAGGAGATGTGTGGTGGGTGGATATGAGAGAGAGGAGGGAGAAACTGGGAGGAGGAAAGTGGAGGAAGGGGAAGCTTCTGTTGGGATGTATTGTATGAGAGACGAATAAATAAAAATAATAATAAAGACTGTCTTCTAGCTGTCTGCGTAGGTATGTATGAAACGTTGCACATACATGACATGGAAGCAGGGATGATCTAGGGAGAAGCAAGGAGCCAGTGGGAGCATAAGACAATGGGAGATGAGACCAGAGTACACTTGTACACATGTATGAAAATACAATGAAACCCATTGTCCTCTGTGTTAACTCAAAGAATGAATACAAGATGAAATCTAAATTTCCAGTTCTTCAAACAGTATATGGAATATCACCAAATTTCTAGTTTAGGCTTGAGTCCTATCCCAAGAGATCTTCCTTGCCCATGAAAATATCTCAAAAATTAAAAATAAAATCTAGACTTTTCTCTTCTCAAGCAGTTCTGGTAAAGGGATACTCTACCCATGCATTGGTTTATTTCGCAGCTGAGATGACCCAGGAAAGAGCTAGAAAGTTGAGCTATTTGGCCCAGTCCTGTGCACACTTACTGTCAGCCTCAGGACAAGGAACGTGTTTGAAAGTCAGGTGGAAATAGCCAGGGAGTGGCTGTGTGACCTTAAATAGGGTGCTGATCTTTCTGGGTTCCTGCTCTCTGTGTTACAGGGATGGTGAGAAGAGCAGATGAGATGGTAGATGTGGAAGTACTTGCATACGTTAAGAGCTGCTCAATTAATCACACAAGTCATGTAAATGACTTCCACAGCAATTTCTTCAAGCTCACCTTGTGAAATAGTTTGCAATGGCTGGTGTTTTTTTTTTTTTTTTTTTTCCTTTAGGAAACGTGAAAGGAAATGAGCTATGAAAGTCAGGCATCTATGACTCTAGCATTTGGACGAGTTCACACTGATAGGGGAGATCTGCGCTTGACACCTAAACATCTTCCCTCGGTATGGGAACAGGCCTCTTTCTGCAGGAAGACACTCAGCTCAGTAGACAGCGCGTGGGCTGTGCAGAGAGACTTTTGTTTAGATCTTGACTTTGCAGTCTACCCGGTATGTGACCTGGGGCAGTAGATTGGGCCTTCTGTGCCTCAATTCTAATCACCAGCAAAAATGGAGAAGAAAATGCTTTTAAAGTTCTTTTTAAAGATTTATTTTTGTTTGTGTGTATGTATGTCTCTATGAATGTATGCCCAGTGTCTGGGACTGGAAGAGGGAGTCAAATTCCCTCAAGTTGGAGTTACAGGCAGTTGTGAGCATTTTGATGTTCATGCTGCGAACAGAACTCCAGCCCTCTGGAAGAGTAGTAAATGCTTTGAATTACTGAGGCATCTCTCTAGTTCACAAGAGCTTTTCTCTATTTTTTTTCCACAGTTAAACAAATTACCTATGCGAACATGCTAGGTTCTGCCTCTGCTTTCTCTGCTTTGATTAACTTCTGGAGCAACATTAGCTTGGCAGGTGTCTTTTTAGGGATACAAATTCTTTGAGGCAATTCTAGGAACTATAACGCATTCACACATTAATATAAACTATTTCAATCTCTCTCCTCCACACTAATCAGGGTTAATTTGTTGGACAAATGTAGAGACTGATGGGGGTGAGTAGAGCACTGGGTGTAGCAACTGTCTACAGAGAGGACATTAGGAGTCCGATGGGATATGAACCTCCACCTTTGGGAACCACTCAGTACTTTCAGGGCTTCTTGTGGTATATAATCAGTTAATGGGAGAGTGTCTGTTTCCCTTTGTGAGTCATTATCTTGGGAAATTGGACATACTCTTTTTAACCTTCCCTCCTCCAATGATTTTGAGGCAGAATGTTGGGTTTTGGAACTCACACATCAAGGTAAACAAGTTATCCATTCTTTCTTATCCAAAGCTATACTTTAGGTTTTATTGCATGAGAAGTGTGTATGTGTAAGGTGGGCCCCTTGGTACAATTTCAATTAAACATTGATATAGGCACTGAGGAGAATAGAATTCAGTTTTTAAGTAAGTATTAGAGAACATGCTTGTGACTTGAGCCACTTTTAAAGTCAGAGTGCATTTTAACTCTTATTCTCATTAATGTTAAGGGTGTGTTTAAATGATATTTTTTTCATCTTTAAAAATGGCATTATTGGATGCTGCTGTAATATTCTTTTCTAAAATAAAACCTAAAACTTTAGGTAAATATCCTCTCCCACTTTGCCTCTGGCTCTTCTTCCTTTTCCCAGCAGAGGCAGAGTGGTAAGTGAAGTGCTAAGAGACCATTGCTAGAATCCTGCCATTGACTCCCTCTCAAAGTCCCGAGAGCACAGATCTTCCTGTGTAAAATGAGGAAAAGGAGATGATTCTCCTGCCAGCTGTACTGCAGAAGAACCATTCCATAAGAACAAATCCAGTATGAGAATCAAGGAAAGGGCAGGCTGTTGTACTGGCTTTGCTTCTTAATTGAAATAAATGGGCAGGCTGTCAGCAAGCCAGTGTCTCCGACGAGCTGGGACTCTGTGATGCGCTGATGCATGCATGCTGGACAGAGCTGTGCATTTAACCAGATGCCCAGATGCTGGCCTTTCGACTGTGCTCTGCGACCAGGGAGGAGTGCCTCTACAAGGCAGAACTTCAATTTCCAGACTGTGAAGCAAACGCCGACAGCAGTAATTCACTGCTGAGAAGCCTTGGATGGGGAGCTCTTACATGTAGAGGAGAAACACTCAAATTGTCTGCTCTGCCTTCTCTCATTGTTTAAATTGGCATGGGGAAGCAGCCATTTGGTATCTGAGATGTATGTGTGAATGAATGTCCAGGGAGTATCGAGCCAACTTTTCAAAAGTGATGAAACAGGGTATTTAAGAGCGAGTCATTAGGATCTGTTTTCCAAACCTGGAGTCACAGGAACTGAACTGGCTGAATGAAATAACCAGGCATGTATGGGAAACAAAATTAAAAGTGTTTATGTTTTCTGTACCTTGAGGCTCCTTAGTGTGGGGGTGTCTTGCAAAGTTTACTCTCACCCTCACTTGTGAAGAATTTCAGGTGAGCTATCTGGTATTTTAGATAAAGTCCTGATGCTGAGGAAAGTTCTGGGCTATGGCTATGCCAGAGCAAACTCTTCTCTTAAAGACAGAATCTGCTTAGGGAAGTGCAACTTGTTTGTCGGGTTTGACTGAGTCCCTGGGCTGGAGTGCCATTACTGAGAATAGTAGATGAACCATGACCCCCATTCAGCTGATAATGTGAGCAATGAAGGGTTAGAAGAGAAGATGAGGAAGGAAGTCATGGACTAGCAAGGTGAAGTTGTTACAACATCCTTAAGATGTGGATGCACCTGGTACAGTGTAGTGGTGCCTCTAGGACTGTCCCTCTCCCTTGAGTTTAATTTCAGAGACTAGACTCTATCCCATAGAGTATTTAGTTTAAATTAATTCAGCATTGCATAAAGTGCCAGGAGTCTTAAGCAATAAGCTGCTTTCAGAGTGGTAGGTAGATACATCCATTTACTCCCAGTGAGGAACCTAGTTCACCTCTGATGGGCATTTTGCAACTTGGTTCATTGATAAAGCAATTTATTAAGCCCATGATTTTTAATATTTAAAAGGACATTTCTGAGATCATCTACTGAGTTCTACCAAGGGGATGATGAGATTTTTGGCTACTTGTAGAAGATGTTTACACTTTCTGTGACTCAGCCAATCATTTGAAAGGTGGAAGTGAGACTGACAAACTGCTCAAGCTGAACAACCTGAAGCCATTTAAAGTCCATCCATCAATCAAGAGAAATTTTAGCAACTGGTTTTAGACAGAGTAAGAGAGGGAAAAAAGAGAGAGGTGGGAGCGAGGAGAAAGAATGGAGACATTTTCTCCAGGAGAGTCTTTCTGGGTCTAACATCTGCTTATGTAAATCTATGCACAGTCACTGGCAACATGATCTTGTACAATAAACTATGAAATAGTGGGTGCTAAAATTCCCAAGATAATCTCATTTCCCTTCAAAAGTTTTCTGATGATTTGTCCTCTGGAAACTAGTTCTAAAATAAATTTCAAGCCTATGCTCTGGCAAAACAAAGAGCTCATAAGGAAGGGGAGTTTCTGAAAATGGCCCATATTTCCCGGTGGTGACATTGAAGGAAGTGCCCTTGCCTGTCTGACTAGTCTGATGGATCAAATCTATTGTTTTCATTCCCCTTGGGGGAAATATTCCGTGGTTTGAGAAGATCTATAAATGGGCCCCTGTGTATGTTCATTCCTGTTACCTGCTCCCAGTAGAAAAACTAACCTAGGGGGAATATTTACCCACCCATCACTCATTAACCCACCACATGTCTACTTGCAATTCCTGATAATGCTGAGAGTGAACACACTCTGCGTCCCACTTCTGTGGAGTCTCACCCCTAGTCTGCAGCTGGTAAGCTGCTGGTTTTGTAAGACTGGCAGGGTGCAGCCACCCCATCCCCAAGTGTCCTGTTGTTGTTATCAGGGTACAAACCTTCTTCCACACTTTATACAAGTGCTTAGACACTTCACCAGCAGCCTTGGTTTTTCAGAGGGAAAAATAAAAACACACTTAATTAAAATGCAGCATGGAACCCATGAAGTACATAGAGTGCATTGCACTCCTCACCTGTTGTTTGGAATTTTGCATTTTAATTCATATAAAGACCAACAATAGGTACAACAAGGAAAGGAAAATGGAGGCTGGGTACCACAGAAGTTTCGTGCTCCTTTCACACAATAGAAAGTAATTAAAGCACCTTTGAATGTTTACAGGTATGCTGCAGGGTTAAAGGATATTCATCATGCTTTAAGAGAGTTGTTGAAGGAATTCATGATAAAAATCAGCCATTCATTCAGTACACACACACACACACACACACACACACACACACACACGCTTTCTAAACGACATGGATAAATATGTTGAATGATGTATCCTTTGATTATGAGTTTGCAGACAGTAGAAAGCTGGGTGCAAGTGATGGATGGACTTTTGGTAATGGTTCGCCTGTGAGCCCAGAGAAGCTGGCATGGAAAGTGTGGGCATGTCTTCCCTTGGCTCTCGAGGGACATGTGTTAGCTTCCCCCATTGCCTTCAAGGCTCAACCAGCAATCTCAGGAACTGAGCCCAAGTCACCTGAAGAAAAAAGTTATTGCAAACATTGAATAGATAAGAAACAAATAGAAAATACTTTCATCTAATTTGCTTTTGCTTTTAATAGAAAAACACCAGTAGAATGTGCATAATATTGCTGTGTATATAAATAACTGTGGAGACATCACAATAGTTCCATCTCTCTTATCACCTGTCTGAGCCAAGAAAAATATTTCCTTAACTGCATTACTTCTCCCCAAAAGGAAAAAAAGGCAGAATGGAATGGGCCTAGAGGAAACATATATTCTTTTAAATAACCACAAGCTTTTAGGTTACAATGAACGTTCTTTTCTGTTCCTTCTGGCCCAAATATGCAATTATGGAGGGCAGGTGGATGCTTAGTTCTCTGTTAAACCAGCAGAGGAACACAGCAGGGTAAAGATGATCAAACCCGTGAGAGAAAGAGAGAGAGAGAGAGAGAGAGAGAGAGAGAGAGAGAGAGAGAGAGAGAGAGAGAAAAAGACCGAACTGGGGCGAGGGGAGTAAGCAGGATTTTTGAAATGGGAACCCCACACGCACGTACTCTCAAAGTTGTGAGCTGATTGTTTTTCTCAAACATATCAACACCCGTGATAGCCTTCTACAACATCCAGACTAATTAATCCTTGTTTCAATTAATGGTGCGTGGGGCTGGGATGTGAGGGGAGAAGGGAGTTAGAATACGCCAAGGGAGAATTGTGTCCCAGTAAATGAAAACAATGAAACAGACATGAAAACCTTACCTTGCTTTAAAAATAAGCTCAACTATTTGAAATCAAACAAGCAATAAGCTGTTTCAAAGGGCCCTTTTATACTGAGTACCAGGCTTTGTGTGTTAGTCACCACCATCTGAAAATGAACTGGTTTATGGAGTTCCGATGTCCAGGTGACTGCTTTGGGCTTTCAAAATCTGTTGTTCTTTAGGGCTCTGAAGGCAAATCCTCAAACTATAAATGCTGATTGCAACTTGTGGACATAGAAATTAAATTGAATTCAGAAAATATATCGAGCAGCTAAATTCTTTTATCCTTATTACTTAACAGTTTACCTTTGTGTTAGTCTAAATAATAACTAAAATAAAAGTCCAAACTTTGAAATTGAGGCTGCCAACTAAAATGATCCTAAAGTGAGAATCCAGCATTAAAATTAATTTTTTTTTAGCATTTGTCCTAAACTAAGGATGCAATGTTAATTTGCTCCAGTAAGCCTTTTCTATACTATTTTATTCCATCCCTCTGTCACCAATCTCAAAATAGAGTTCAGCTAAAATTAATTTCTGAGTAACCCTTGGATGCTTTACCATAGATAAACTAGATGCAATTTCCACAGTTCCAAGTCTAAACCCAACTTTGTAAAATCTTTGAGAAACTGGCCTAAGAATGCCAGTGCACAAGGTTATGTAGGCAGCAATACATATTTGCTTTATAGACCAAGCATTGATGAACATTAGTTAATGCTATTAGTTCCACATGTAATTTGAGAATCTATCCCATCCATGCCTACCTTCCAATGTGAGAGAATGATCTAGAATGCGGGATGCTAAGGAGTATGCTAAGAAAGTCATTTTATCATTCTCCCACTTGTCTGTGCCATTTAGGTAAAACACATGAACAGTGCCCTTTCGTGAGTCTATTGGTGACTTTATTCATCATCAAGGAAGTTACCTTTTCAGTTCCTTCCTCTTTGAGACTGATAATGTCCAGGTCAAAATCCTTTCTCAAGCCATCGGTCTTATTAAAGGTGATACGCCCAGTCAAGCCATCCCATCGAGCCTGAGGACAGTTAGAGTACAGTGTTATTACTTAACAGTTATCATAATCGCAGGCCCATCAACAGTGCAATGCCTCAGATTCATCCCAGTATCCAGTTACTCGGCTGCATCGTGATTCTAACCATTGCTTTGGTTCACTGACTTGAAAGTGGAGCACTTCACTGTTTTATTAGTTCTCATTTATTGTATCAGCCCTAACATTTAAACACAGTCAGTCTTGTAATAGTGGCAATCTAAATGGAGAGGAAGAAAAGAGTCACTCTAAAATCATCTGTTCATGGAATAAAAGAGTCCAAGAAGTCATAGCATTCTGTTTTCCAAGGTCAATTTGAACCCCCTTCAAGCTACTGCCAAAGGGAAGTGCCTCCTACCTCTTTCCTCCTCTGTGAAAAAGATATGGACACATGATACATCATTGACATTATTGGATGTTTGGAGTATTCATAATTTATATCTCTTTGTATTTTGGTATTTTAGTTTCTTATGGCTACTATAGCCCATAGAAACAACCAATGACACATGTAAGGGAGACTAACTTTTGTGTGTACCTGGGCACTGCCTGGCATCATAGTCCCCTACCCCATAACATATCAATTTTTATTTTTGTGCTGCAGTCACCACTTTTTTATTTTTAAGCCAAAGGCTGGCTTTGTGGAAATAAAAGCTACAAAATTAGCTGTGGTGTTGAAGTTACTTCCAATGCCTAGCATCCAAGGACAATTTATCTAAAGCGTTGGTTCAGTTGAAATCTCTACTGTGTTAAGGGTTGGGATTAAGTTCACTGTAGACAATGAGCAGTCTTACCCCACCTCCAGATCTGTTTGGAAGAAGGTAGTTATTTTCATTAAGTTCTACACAGTTTTGGGAAAGCTTTTTCCTGGAGGCGGCTTTTCTGTTATGGAGGTCATGTTGTGAATCAATTTAGCCCATTGTGCAGAATTTACGGGACTCTCTGAAAATGTAAAGAACCGGTAGCATTTACCTCTTGCTGTAGCATATAGCTTGTAGCATGGTCTTAAAACCCAGTTTAGAAATCCAATTTTATTTCTATAGAGTTGCCTATTGTGTTGCTTTGTTTGGATTCTGTTGCATTAGCTTTATTCTTGTTCCAATCACCGCGGCTGAGTAATTTCCACTTCTTGCTTTCCCCCCTGCACATCCAAGTGGCAGAAAAGTTCCCTTTTCATGTTCTGACAATGGCTCCTTCCCTGCCTTAGATATCAACAAAGACTCCCTGCCTGGGCTTTTACCGAGCTGTATCTCTTGACCTTCAAAGTCAGCGTTGCCAACATTACACACGGCTACCTGCCTCCTATCCCTAGATAAGTTGTATTTGTATTTGGACTTTTGGACTAATTGCTGCTAAGCATTTATTAATCACCAATTTAACTATTGATCAAGGTGAACATATAATTTTTGTATGCCATAAATAAGACCCATAAGGAACCCACATTCTGAATCAGGGCTGAACCATGTACAATTTAGATAATGACATACAATTATATTCTTCATAATCATAATTTGCTTGCCTTATGTAGATGCATTGCTGAGGGCACAATTACAGTATACTTAACTGAAAACAATACTTATATAATTGTCCCTATTTTAGGAGATAGCTTTAATATCTACCCTGTTAGAGATCTTTAGACAATTACCACTTAATACCAACTAAGTCAAATAATGTGATTGCTTTATTTTCCTTTGGGCATTCCATCTAATGGACAAAAATAATAAGAATCAGGAACTCAGAGAAGAACGAAAAATGTTTCATTAGCCATTATGACTTATTGTATGTCTTTTCTCAAGAAATTATTAGTTGTTATAAATATATATGTAATATATACATGTATATATGTGTTTGGTATGTAAATGTCTAACACCCAATTCTAGGTTCTTAGAGTAGACAATTATAAATACCAACTTATTAAAATGACTTCTTTACTCATTTTTTCTAAAGGTAATTTAAATATGTAAAGGATACTAAACCCTTCCTTAAAATTTCCCCTGACACACCATTTTCATTTGCTATGGTGAATATCTTGTCTCCCATAGAAAGACAGATACTTAGTTGAGAGTAGAGTGTCTTCTTGTAGGGAACATGGACTATTAAGAACAGTAGTTTCCAACATTTTTTTCCTTTGAATGTTAGAAGCAATTATTTTTCTGAGGATTTGAAATAGAAGGCTCATGGAGATCCCAAAGGTGAACTTCCATCATTAAATTAAAGAAAGAAAATACATCCTCTGTCTCAAACCCCTCATTGATGGTATCACCAGGCCTGGTAAGAAGTCATTTCTACATGACTATTGTATGCATTACTAAAACTTCACTGGAATTTGAAACTAAGCCAAAAAATTGATATGATTTGAATTAATGCTGAGGAGAAATGATATTTTTTAGTTTACTATTATATAGTGTCCATAGTTGCATGTTAATTTGTAGGTGCTCTATGTAATAAATCAGTTGTGTACAAAAGTTATCACTTCACTACTCCATAGGACATTAGTAACCTTTGCCTTCCTGGAAGCTTCTGAAGCAGCTAGTTCTCTGCCATCCTGCTGGTTCACATGCAACTGACGTAAAATTATGTACTCTGCTAGAGACTGTCCTATGAAGCCACTCAAATATCCTTACCCATAATATCTTATGAGGGTATCTAATAGCTTCCTGATTAGATTTGATGCCTTCTCCACAGGAGGAAATGCTTGCTTAGTATTATATATCTGGCCAAGAACTTATGTCTGGGAAGTTCATAGGCCCCAGAGGTAAATCTACTATTATTTTGCTAAATGGACATAGTATCAACTTTCCTCTAAATTCAGATCTCTGTATCCATATTTAGTGCATCTCTCAGACCTCATCAGGGAATTCTTTGTGCAGCAGATGGTAGTTAACGTAGAACCTCCTAAGTGGTTCAAGTACAGAGAGTAAGTGATGGTGGATTGCTCAGTCATAATTGGGACACTAGTATCATATCTTCTCCTCTCGAAGCTCAGGAAACATTTTGGAAGAGAGAGCAGAAAGATTTTAAGAGCTGGAGTTTGGCCAGGGATGTGGTGTTGTGAAATAATGTTTTCTGCACACGACAGGACTGATATATTTATAATCCCACAGCAGCTCTGGTTGCATGCCAAGACCTGTCCAAGATGAAGCCAGTCAATATTCTGGCATAGAAAGGAGAAGGGTTCATGAAGCCCAACCCTTAGCTGAGGAGCTATTACAGCTGATGGCTAGCCATGGGAGGAGGAGGAAGAGTCTGTTTTCATCAAGGGTACCACTGCTGGTTGGTCATCCATGCTAAAATGGATAGCCCCACACTCATGGGTGTATGGTAAGCACCAGCTGGGCTTGGTGGGTTAATTTCTTTAAAAATGTCATAAAATTTGGAGGGGAGAGGGACTAGATTTAGGAGGAAGTATGGGGAGAATATACAGATGACTATGATCAAAATACATTATATGTGTATATGGCATTCTCAAGAGTATTAGTAAAATACATTTAAAAGTATCACATAAATTGTTACCTTAGAATCATTTTGATAGCATGGAATTGTTTCTTAAAAATTAGCTAATAAAGTATTGTATGCCTTTCCTTTAATTCTTTTGGTGTGAATTACATAGTTCAAATACAATAATTTTTTATTTTTTCTCATGGACAGGAAAGTTTGATTGTCATACATTTCTTACACCGGTTCACTGATTAGATTGGCTAGCATTGCCACACAATACCAAAAACAAAGACATGAACTTACTTATGCAATCTACTGAGTTAGAATTAGGACAGAATTTTATATCAATACTAATTCTACTCTGTGACAGATCCTTTTAAACTTAATTTTCATGTTTCTGATTGATCAGCAGACCTTGAGATATGATTAAATAACGTTTATTTGTGGATCATTGTTGGCTATCTGGATAATCATTCAGTAAAATATGCTGACAAGTTTATTTTCATGTGCACATGCAGCCTCACGCAGCTGATGTACATTTATTTATTTATTTATTTTTTTGTTATAAAATAAGATGCTGCCTTGGGTCATGTTATTTCACATGCTTATTTTTTCTTACTTTCAGGAAGTCATTAAAGGCTTGTGTGCATCAAGGGAGTTGTGTTGTGTACACTCATGTATGTAAGATGATGAATGAGCTGAACTTTCAAGGGTGAAAAGATAGACTACATTCCAGATCATGAACAAACGCAGGTAATGAAAGAGCATGAGTATGGGTAGGACACGGAATTTGAGGGAATGGAGTATTGGGACCTTAAAGTTGAATACCTGTACACAAACCTAAGTAGATGCTAAGAAATGTACTGAATTTTAGCAAAACTTGTATAGTATTTACAGTTTTATTAATAAGATGAACAATTTAAGGGTTTTTTGTGGTATTTTCTCACAAATATTCTAAAATATGAAATTTGAATTTATCCCCTTTCAAAAATGATGATTGATCTTAGAGTATCTTTCTGCTCTTAATGAGAATACATAAAAATTAGTGACTTACCTTCCTTGTAATCTATTCTAACAGGATTCCATTCCCACTCCATTCCACCATCCAGTGGTTTCAACTTTATTCTCTTTCTTGTTTGAGAATGCAGTATGGAAACTGCTTTTGACAATGAATGTGAATCTCAGCGACTCAGGGAAAGATGGGGCCAGATGCTCTGACCTCCTGTTAAGCTGGGTGCTTATTGGTACAGTCCAGCTTTGATACTTAAGGTAACATCATTTTGACAGATGTTATCATATTATATAAGCATATATACATACATGGTCTACTATTGGGCCATATATGGGGAAACTTTGGTGATGTATCACTACTGTGATATTTGAGAACAAATCTCATTCAATCAAAGACAGCAAACCTATTGTCAAGGACCAAGTGTTCAAATAGGGAACTAAGGTCTAGAAAACCACTTCAAGGATCTGTTCTCTCATTTGCTCTATGGTTTGCAGGATTCCAGGCTTATCAGTGGTAAGGAAAGTATTTTTCTGGCAAGCCA